ATTTTGATGTATTCATCATCATCTGATTGTTCCCAAGAAATATTTTGTCTTCTCTTCAAGTTGGGAGATTTTGTCCTCGAATCTGAAATATAAAAAATTGGTGACGATTCAAATAAATAAGACCGTACATTCATGCGACCAGAAATACATAGTCAAATTACGAACAAACAGAAATTATCTTGAAATGTTTAGAATTGTAGAGTTCTGTAAGTGAACTACGTGAAAAGATCTCCGTAATCTGTTTGATTCGCAACGGTTTTCTAAAATCTCAATCGGAGAAACCCAACGAAAGATTCCGCATGTTCTTCGCAGAAATTTCATGAAAGACCATTCGTAAACGAAGTGAACAAGTTGTTGATTATCGCTTACGAGCTAACAGTTTCGGCAATTCGGTCCATTCGTCTCACAATATCACCGTATAAATCTGCTGACGAAATGGTTAAGCTTCGCTGTTGATCTGTCATTGGCGTCAAACTCACAGCTGTCAGACAACTGCAAAAGAAGTGGAAATTCATGCTAATGATAAATCGAGCCATGATCAGCACATAAACTGTACCAGTGAGAGATGATAACCGACTTTTTCGGGAGAACTGATCGAGCAGTAGTTCTTTCCTTGGTCAGAATAACTAACTTACAATCGATTCAGAACTTTGCTTGTCATGCCATTCGATTAAAATCAATGGAGGAGTTGCTGAGAATTATGCATGATATGTTCCGTATTTTTCAGCTTTCAATGATACAATTGCGATTGGATGAATCGCAAAATTTCAATGGATTAAGCAGAAGAATCCCCAAATGTCAGTTCCTCTACTGAGCCAAATATTGAGGCTTCGCCACAATTTTCTGGATACTTCAAAAAGTGGAATCTCTCACACGTCAGTGTCGAATATATCCTTCGGTGGTCGCTCATTGCTTTCGTCTTGTACTGGTTCTTGAATCAACGGTTTTTTAGCTGATTCCGTCGCACATTTTACTTCCTCCGCCGGCCTTGTCACGACTGCATGATCTGTTGCTTGCGTACCGGGGTCATGCTCCTCGGTTGTATCATATTCGATTTGTGGTTCTACTCTATTGCCATCATTCGTCTGTGTTTGCTCGGAAGTTGGTGCACCACTGGCCACACTCATGCCAGATAGCGAACGTAAAAGTGAACTGATCGACTCATTTGAAATGCTGCTCGATAGAGGCTCACCTGTAAAGAAATCGTTTGGTGTTAATGAGCATTAAAAGGATAAAGTTTCAAATCAGACAGCAATCGAAGCATCACAAAAATGCGATGTCATAAGCTGATGATTCAAGTTATATTCTGTGAGTGGTTAAACTTTTGTTTGTTAACTATTCACTAGAACTGGAGTGAAGTTGAAGATATCTTCCTGGAAGATTCGATAATTCATCAGTTGAGGAAACGGAGCAACCGACTAACAACTAAGCATTTCAGTATTTTCATCCTGTACTGT